ATTGACTTCTATTGAAACTCAATTTCAGATGTCTATAATTCATTTTCGACGTGTTATAATTCTGAGTCGACATTCATTGTCCTGTCATTTTTACGAGTCAAAATGTTCTTGCAGATATCTTAAATGACATATGTGCATATCTGAAATGAACTTAGTCATTTTCAGGTAGACATTGCCTATTTAAAAAGTTGACCAATGGCTTTGTGGTACTTCAGTGTTATAATGACCACATATTTGAAATGGTTTGTTTATATGCTGGACATGACATAAATACAATTGTTGATGCCGAAAATGGAAAATTAGTCTTTTACAATATGTGGAAACTCAACTGTAGATATCTGTGACCATTACTCTTACTAGAGAAAAGTGAATTACTGATATCTGTAATTAAATTAAAGTTATCTAAATCTGTTTTGACTTGTCAAAGTGTAATTTCTACATGTGAAAATATATTAATAACATGTCAGTTTTTTAACAGATATCTGAAATTGACATTTATATAGACTGGTAAATCAGTCTACAAAACTCTTTGGTTTTTCCTAGGGCTTTTTACTTGATGACACTGATGCACAAATATGTGTATAGTTTTATATACTAATAATGTTCTGCAAATTATAATGTAGTTCATGTTAATATCATGATAATGGTGGTAACAGTTTTAGGGAATTATTGCATGACATTTATCTCCTGTAAACATTGTCTGCACACAGTATGGTGAGCGAGAAAATCACCACAAGCGTAAATGTTACATAAAAAAAAAAAAAAAGCAGAAGTATGTCATAGTTAAATATAGACCACAACACTGAGCTCAGATTCAGTCGACTAGCGTATTTGATCATTACTGTATGTCTTTGCATGTTTCTAGCTGGCTGTGTGTTAGTAGCTGGAAATTCCATTCTCTCTCTCTCTCTCTCTCTCTCTCTCTCTCTCTCTCTCTCTCTCTCTCTCTCTCTCACACACACACACACTCACACTCACTCACACACACACACACACACACACACACACACACACACACAGCAACGGCCTCAAGGTGTCTGCTGACAGCCAGCTGCTTCGTTTAAGGTTACAGCCTATCTACATTTCATGCATGCACATACAAACACACACAGAGCTCACAATGACTTTATCAGGACAGATGAACTCAGTCAATGGTGTGATTACATGTAACAGAATGGGATGCACATGTTTACTGCAGTTATACAACACACTATTGAACATGGTAGTCTCTCTACCTCTCTCTCTTTCTCTCTCTCATGACCTGAGGGATTGCATAAGCAGCCATCTGAATATAGAATAACAGACAGTAATGACTGTTGTGCCTCAGTCTAATTGGTCCAGAGACAATGCGTGAGCCCTTTGACCTTTTTAGATCAGATCTGTACCAGTGACTGTATATAAAGTCTATTATCTTTACACACAGAGACAAAAAAGAGAAGATGATGTCATATATAATCTCATTATAGAAAAGTCACCTTAATAGAAGTCTGCATTACTGGGAGAAAATCAGTCCTAGCTTACTCTGTGCATGACTGATCAGGTCCTAGTGCATCAAGTCATATTGTTAGATGTGATGTAGGCTGTGATATGTGGATTTGATAAGACGTCCTTGAAAGTGAAGTATGACAAAGAGGAGCTTGTTCATCAAACATAGGCCCGGGGATAAGAAACAAAAGCTTGTGAAAGCGCAGTAGTTCAGTAAAAGTCATGGCCCTAACAGAATACTGTCACACGGCTGACAAGTGATCGCCACTAGTGCTATACTTTGGCTTGTAGTGTGGGCAGTCAGGCTCTGGTCAGCTGGTTGGCTGTGTTTTCTTTGGCCCTAACTTTACCATGAGATCAGATTTACCAAACCTAGATCTGCTATTTGTTGCCATACTCAGATGTGTGAATCAGTAGAAAGCCAAAAGCCACACCAAATTTGTATCATGTAATTTGTTTATAGGTTAAGTTCATGGCACGTAAGAGTTTTCAAATGTAAAAAAGGCATAAAATGCCAATGTAACAAAACAAATCAGGATATGGTTTATTTTTAGGCCTCTGTGCTGGTGATAGCCAGTTGTCCTTCCATCCGTCCACCCCATTCTCATGAACACGGTATCTCAAGAATGCCTAGAGGGAATTTCTTAAAAGTTGGCACAAATGTCCACTTGGACAACAATAAACTGATTTGATTTTGGCGGTCAAAGGTCAAGGTCACTGTGACCTTGTTTGTCTCATTCTTGTGAAAGTGATATCTCAAGAACACCTTAATGGACTTTTTTTTTCAAATTTGGCACAAAAGTTTACTTGGACTCAGTGATTATCGATTAGACTGAATAGAGGTCAAGGTCACTGTGACCTTGTGTCTGTCTAATTTTCATGAACACAATACCTCAAGAACGTCTTGATGGAGTTTCAGCAAATTTGGCACAAACGTCCTCTTAGACTCAAGAATGAACTGATTAGAATCAGATCATCAGTGGTCACTGTGACCTCACAAAACATGTTTTTGGCTATAACTCAAGAATTCATGAGCTAATTAATGACGAAATTTCACAGAAATGTATAAAAGGATAAAATGATGAAGTGATGATATTTATATCATTTATATCAACTTCACTGTGACATAATTTTCTGCAAAAACACTTTTCTGGCCATTACTCAACGTCACATCTCAGGAACAGAAGGGAAGACATTTGGTCAGATACTGAACTGGTGACACTCATTATGGGTGTCCACCTTGAATCTTTGCTGATTCTGTGCTGTCAGGGAGTAAGATGTGTGTGAAGCATGCATCTTTTCACAGACATACAGTACAGGCCAAAAGTTTGGACACACCTTCTCATTCAATGCGTTTTCTTTATTTTCATGACTATTTACATTGTAGATTCTCACTGAAGGCATCAAAACTATGAATGAACACATGTGGAGTTATGTACTTAACAAAAAAAGGTGAAATAACTGAAAACATGTTTTATATTCTAGTTTCTTCAAAATAGCCACCCTTTGCTCTGATTACTGCTTTGCACACTCTTGGCATTCTCTCCATGAGCTTCAAGAGGTAGTCACCTGAAATGGTTTCCACTTCACAGGTGTGCCTTATCAGGGTTAATTAGTGGAATTTCTTGCTTTATCAATGGGGTTGGGACCATCAGTTGTGTTGTGCAGAAGTCAGGTTAATACACAGCCGACAGCCCTATTGGACAACTGTTAAAATTCATATTATGGCAAGAACCAATCAGCTAACTAAAGAAAAACGAGTGGCCATCATTACTTTAAGAAATGAAGGTCAGTCAGTCTGGAAAATTGCAAAAACTTTAAATGTGTCCCCAAGTGGAGTCGCAAAAACCATCAAGCGCTACAACGAAACTGGCACACATGAGGACCGACCCAGGAAAGGAAGACCAAGAGTCACCTCTGCTTCTGAGGATAAGTTCATCTGAGTCACCAGCCTCAGAAATCGCAAGTTAACAGCAGCTCAGATCAGAGACCAGATGAATGCCACACAGAGTTCTAGCAGCAGACCCATCTCTAGAACAACTGTTAAGAGGAGACTGTGCGAATCAGGCCTTCATGGTCAAATAGCTGCTAGGAAACCACTGCTAAGGAGAGGCAACAAGCAGAAGAGATTTGTTTGGGCCAAGAAACACAAGGAATGGACATTAGACCAGTGGAAATCTGTGCTTTGGTCTGATGAGTCCAAATTTGAGATCTTTGGTTCCAACCGCCGTGTCTTTGTGAGACGCAGAAAAGGCGAACGGATGGATTCCACATGCCTGGTTCCCACTGTGAAGCATGGAGGAGGAGGTGTGATGGTGTGGGGGTATTTTGCTGGTGACACTGTTGGGGATTTATTCAAAATTGAAGGCACACTGAACCAGCATGGCTACCACAGCATCCTGCAGCGACATGCCATCCCATCCGGTTTGCGTTTAGTTGGACGATCATTTATTTTTCAACAGGACAATGACCCCAAACACACCTCCAGGCTGTGTAAGGGCTATTTGACCAAGAAGGAGAGTGATGGAGTGCTGCGGCAGATGACCTGGCCTCCACAGTCACCGGACCTGAACCCAATCGAGATGGTTTGGGGTGAGCTGGACCGCAGAGTGAAGGCAAAGGGGCCAACAAGTGCTAAACACCTCTGGGAACTCCTTCAAGACTGTTGGAAAACAATTTCAGGTGACTACCTCTTGAAGCTCATGGAGAGAATGCCAAGAGTGTGCAAAGCAGTAATCAGAGCAAAGGGTGGCTATTTTGAAGAAACTAGAATATAAAACATGTTTTCAGTTATTTCACCTTTTTTTGTTAAGTACATAACTCCACATGTGTTCATTCATAGTTTTGATGCCTTCAGTGAGAATCTACAATGTAAATAGTCATGAAAATAAAGAAAACGCATTGAACGAGAAGGTGTGTCCAAACTTTTGGCCTGTACTGTAGATGTAAACTGTAACTGCAACTCGATGGGTTTGCAGAGGCATGCAACCACAAAGTAGTAATTCTACTTTAGTAGAGAAGTAGATATTACACCAGCTTACACTTCTAAATATTCCACTGCTACAACAGAGAATGAGTCTGAAAGTGTAAATCTGCAGTTAGATCTGCTAGACACTAGACACTACAATTTTAAAGATGCTCAACACCCAGTTGGTGTAAACAAAGGCAGTTGAGCGCACAAATGCAGGATTTTTACAGCTGTCCCTCTGCTGGTTTGGGAATTAAACTTAGCCAATAACCAAACATGTTGGTGAAACTGTTCGTCTGCTGTACAAGCTTTGGTAGAAAATTAGCAATCAAACACAGCCCAATGTCATTCTAAAGCTCCATTTTGCTAGTGAAAGAGAATCAGAAGCAACAGGCTAATGTCTCTTTGTCAACTGTTGGTTTAGTTCTTTTCAGTGAGACTCAATGCCACAACAAACCTTGACAAAGCATTTTCCAGAAGACTAAATCCGTACATGAAATGAAGTTACCATATTGTTCATGAACACCTTGTATTTCTCCTCTTGCAGGCCATGGTAAGAACCACAAGGATGCAGCATCAGTGCGAGCCACACACCCGATCCCTGCTGCCTGTGGGATCTACTACTTTGAAGTCAAGATTGTCAGCAAAGGTCGAGACGGGTAAGCAGATAGATACAGCTCTACTGAAGCTTTATTACATGTGTTCTGTTGACGTGCAAGAACTTTTTCCAGGTCATTGTTACACTTATTTTCACTGTGCCCAAACAAAACAAAAAAATAGTTCTTCAAATCAAATTGATTAGAGCAATGACAACTTTAGAATCTCAGTTTCATGCTCAGGTCCGTGGATTCCTGTCTTGCATTGGCTGTTTTCTAAGAATATGAACCGAGGAGCCACTCTGAGGAGAAATCAACTTGTTCTGCCCAAATGGACATTCTTATTTCTAGATATAAACAAAAGTGCCAACCACGAGTAACAGTGCAAATATGTTTATGTGTATGTGTCTATATGGGAATTCTAGCTGTTAGCAACAAACAGTAAGGCATTATCAAAAAGCTATAATTGGTAATGAGTTAAACTGATTCAGTACCACTGGCTTAAGGGACAGCGATGCAGGGTAGTTGGTCAGTCTTAATAATTATTGACAGGATTGCTGAGACATTTAGTAAAGAAATTCAGTTTGCAAAGGATGAACGATAATGTCTTTGCCCATGTTTACCTAACAGCAGAGTACGTTAAAAACAAACCCCTCCTTCATGTAGGCCTCAGCTGGGCTTTGAAATGAATTTTAAAGGTGTAGTTCACCCCAAAATTTAAAAATCGTATTTTTCCTCTTACCTGTAGTGCTATTTATCAATCTAGATTGTTTTGGTGTGAGCTGCTGAGTGTTGGAGATATCGGTCTTAGAGATGTCTGTCTTCTCTCAAATATGATGGTACTAGATGGCACTCAGCTTGTGGTGCTCAAAGTACCAAACAAATTTCTTTGAAAAACTCAACAGCAATATCTCATGACCAAGTTACTGAAGATAATCCACAGACCCTGTTGTGAGCAGTTTCGTGCAGGAACTATTTTCTTTCTACGGAACTATACCTGTCAACTGTATCACCGCACAGAAGGAAGCATGCATCTACTGCTAGCTCATCTAGCACCACTGAACAGGCTAATGTTACAGTTCAGCCAAAGAGGACAGAAAGGTCAGACATCCCGGGGTCACTGTGATGGCTTGTGAATTTGTGAGCTTGCTTCAGCAGCATTTCCCTCACCTTGGGTCTGCATAAAAACAGCAATCTTGATATCACTGTTCCATGTTCTTTGCCAAATGCAGCAGTGTCTCCAAATATGTCACTCACGACCTTTATCAGAGTGGTCTCAGTCTTGTTGCCAATATCTGTATCAGCTGTCCTGTTCTCCAAATGCTTTAGTGTCACGACAGAGGGAGTTGCATCAACAGTGCTAGACATTTAAACCCATCTGCTGTGTTAGTGACAATAGGGATGTTTCAACCCAAAAGTGATTATGCCCTGGCTTGTCAAATGTGAGGAATAAGACCTGACTGTCGAGGTTTTATGTAGCTGAAAAATCAAAAGATTCATCTTAGCTGCACCAGAATGATCTCAATGTGACATTCGGCCCAGTTATTTCCAGACACAAAGACAAAAAGAACATCTAAAAGAAATGCAATACAGAATAACCTTTTTTTAACTGTGTTTTAGTGGTTCTCGTTGATGTATTTTTAAAGCAGTATATAAATTTTATTACCTGTATCATGGGGCTGTACTGTATGTTGACCATGGTACACTCAGTACTAACTGAATTTTTCCCCTGTGATTAAACCAATCCAGACATTGTTTGCTCCATAATAGCAGCCAGAATAGGTGACATCATGCACTGTGCCTGAAGTAATTGAATTACCTTAAAAATGAATTCAGTTTTACAGTACGGCATATTACTGCCCCTTAGCTAAAGCATCCGTGGGACTGTTGTGCAGCGACTCTGCAATTTCTTTGCTATAGGTGCTTAGATTCCAGGCTTTCAAAACTCACTTTTTGACCTGTAGGCTCCTCTGCATTGTAACTGAAACTCTCCTCCATCCTCCCCAATAAAAGTCTCAGGTTGCATAATACACTGTTAACACTCCCCAGTTCCAGTTAAGCAGCTCAGCGAACAGAACAAAACAGTGGTGTGAAAGACGACTGCAATGTGGGAGTGTCTGTATGTGTAGCTATAAATGGGCTAGCCTTCCAAATCAACTTAGCTGCTTGACTTGAAACACCATACAGTGCCAGTGTGTTTGTATGGAGTGATTGTCTGGTTCACTGGACCAGAGGCAGGATTTAATGGCATCTTGAATTTGAATTTGAGTTGTAGCATGAAATAATGACACATATTGCATCACAAACACTTTTGAATGGACATTCCTTTCATTCTAACAGTGTAGATAGAAGTGGTATGTCAAGAAATACTGCACTGAGTAATGCCACAACATGCCACTACAATAACATGCACTGCATGTGTATTACTAAGTAAGGAACTTGGCTGTATAATTAAACCAAAATAAACCCAAGTGTGATATTGACTATTGAACTCTGACTCAAAAAACACAACTGTCAATGCAATAGCCTCGGTTTTCAGGCTTAATCAACAGCATGAAGGAAAAATCAAACAAAAATTTGAAGTCTCATCACTTTGCCCAGGTGACAGCAGTCATTGAAGGCTTTATGTTTTCAGGTTGTCCATACGTATGTCCATATGTACAAATGTACTGTAAGTCCTATACTTGTTTGCCCGGTATCACAAGAACCACTTGAGGGAATTTTCTTAAATTTAGCACAAACGTCCACTTGAACTCAGGGATGAACTGATAAGAATTTGGTGGTCAAAGGTCAAAGTCACTGTGACCTCACAAAACACGTTTTTGGACATAAGTCAAGGATACAAATGCTAATCATGACTAAGGTTGAATATAATAAAATTATTAAGTGATGACATTTTATATCCAAAAGGTTGTTGTTTATTGAATAGCGATGATGTTAAGATGATGAAGGACACTCCGCTGACACCGTCTTGCTTGTATATAGAAAGGTTTATCACAAGAAGTACAGCATCAAATCAAGCGCCTAGGAAGCCTGAGAGAGAGTTCGAAGCCAATATGAACTGCTCTGAATAATGGCTCAATTTACCCTGCATATATAGGTCGGTTGTTTTGATGAACTTTGAGACAAAATGTGACAAGTGACAGAGAGACATTCTAGATGGAATCCAACCTTTCATCTTTCTTATCTATCCTTGACCTGAGCCATAATAAATCTTGACCTGGGCCCCTAACTGATCATATAAGACCCCGGTCATCACATAACATGTGGCATGTCAGATACTACAAGGTCACATTTGGTCAGATACTGAATTGGTGACAATAATCTTGGGTGCCCACCTTGATACCAAACTAATTGTATAGGTCTTCTGTGCTGTCGGGTTGAAGATGTGCTTGAAGCATTCACATTTTAGAATAAGCGGCTTCTTTGCACCAACATCTATATTTGAAACATTGTCTACTGTCATGGCTACATACAAGTCTGGATGATATTTTCAACAGGCTTGACAATTAGTGCTTTTTATCAGCTGTGAGTGATTTAATGTCCCTTCACAACAGTTTAATCCAAGTTACACTTTCCCACTAGACATTACTTTTCATTACATTTCTCTTTGGTAAAGTTTAGTTTCCGCTGCCACCTCTTTTGTCTGATACTTGTTTTAGCCCAACAAAACATAGTAAACCCTTTTTGGCTTCAATTTAATGTTTGGCCATGGCATATTGCCCATATGAATTACCATTTTATGTTCAAATAGTACTTTGAGATGTTTTATTTTGACTAACATAAGCCTTGTCATGGGGACAGATTGGCATGTAAATTACATCATCAGAACTGTAACCAACCCTTTGCCAAGCTCTGACCCTGTGTGATTGTCCATCAAGCTGTCAGAGTTTACGTGGACCCCACACTGTGACTAACTGCACTTCCTGAAGAATTATTATTCAATGGTGGAAGGGCAGGGGAAACCAAACTCTGTTTATCTGTGAAAACTAAGATGACACATCTTAGGCTACACTCAACAGGCCATACCACTTTCAGCGTTTGAGTTTGGTTTTGTAACAGGGAAGAAAAACATTATCAGTCACAGACAGTGATAAGTCTAATACTTTTTTCCAAACTGAAGATACTCACAAATATTACATTGGATTGTCATGGAATTTTGGAAAAGCATTCATGGTCTTAAGGGCCCAGCTGTTCAGAAGTAATCTGATCAGATTTCGGCTGTTTGATTGGATCAAATCTGGAAATGGGTTGTTCGGAAAAAAGGATTCTAAAATCAGATTCAATCATGTAATTCAGTCTTAGTTTTGATCTAAAACTTTTTAGTAGGATTGGGATACCATTGATTCAAAAATCAGGAAATCAGCATTCAGGGTGTTTATATTTTGCACTAGATTTGTTTAACATCCTATTTGATAAAGTAGATAAAGTAAATATTAAGCTATCTATTCAGCCTTTAAATACAGTAAAGTAAAAAAAATAAGGATGTCGTCCCCATAAAATAGTCCCCCGTAAAGCTGTCAATATCATTTAAAAAAGTTATTTTCCGTTACAAACCAGAGGATCTGCATTTCTTTTCATTTTCTTTGGTTGCACCCATGACAGTAGTTGGTTACTGCAGTGTGTTTGTTGGCAGACTGCCTACATTATGATATGTAGTCCCATTTAGAGCACTGGTTATCCATATTTAATAATCTTGAAGTTTGTATCTGGATCAGGGTGATCCAATCCAATATTGTTTTAAAAAAAACAGCAAAAAAAAGTATGATAAATTAGCTGATCCTAGGTAGCAAAACATGGGATTTCCAAATTTGCGTTTTTCTGATCTATATATTTTTTTTTAAACAACTTGGCCCAGAGGATAAAGCTCACTGACTTTGGTAATTCCCTGACTTTCCTTTAGTGCCAACAGCATGTCAAAATTTCCCTAATCCAGTGAAATATCTTAACATATTATAGATAGACTGGCTCAAAATTTAGTCAAGACATTCATGGTCCGCAGAGGATGAAGCCATCTTTAGTGATCCCTAGCGATTTCTTTTTGCGAATAAATATTTGTTTTTTAGTGAAATGCCTCCACAACTGTTGGTTGGATTGCAGTGGAATGTGGGACATACATTCATGTCAGCGTAAGGGTGAATCATAATAACTGTGGTTGTCCTTCAACTTTTCATTTAGTGGCATCATCAGTTCAAAATTGAAAATGTTCTGCTGATATTAGTAATAAGCTCAAAGCATGGCTGTGCCAGAGTATAGCCTCACAGTGCTGCTAGCGTGGCAGTAGACTATTTGCCTTTATTTATAATAGCAGACTGAATAATAAAATCTTCCCTACACAAACATTTGCTGAAGTGATATTGACCTCTTCCTGTTATTCTGCGTCATCGTTCTTGTCCTACCCCTAGTTCAGCTTATTTGACAACTTCCTTAAAGGCATCTTCCATTTGTCTGATATGACATGAGTCTTTTCCTCCTCATGCATCCTCAGTGTCATTGAGGAAAACCTGTAAAGTAGGCCATCCGTTTGGCTTCGACAAGAAACAATTTATTGCTGGGAGTTGAGTGATGACATCAGCACGTGCCAAAGAGAGCTGAGACTATGCCAAACGCATTCAAATGACAATATTGATGACTCGTTCAATTGAGCAAAAAGGTTTCCTGCTGTGCTTTCGTAAGCTCTCTTACGTGAAAATGATACAGGCCAAGCGCTTGTGCTTGTGTGATGGACTTATGATGTCACTGTTGACCCCTGAGCTTCAACTCTAGCAGTCGCTTTTGATGTTACAACTCTCCCTTTGAGGCAGCTCCTTCTGCCATAACTAGTCCACACATTTAGGATATGAAAGGAGATCAAAGACAGTATGTTCAAAGTTACCTCCGCCTGACACTCATCAAAATATCATCTGAATATTTTTCAAAGTTAACCTGAGAAAACACCTGAATGTTAATGCAGATATGTTTCAGTATGGGGGCATGCTATGTATTATGTAGAATCTACTGCAGTTTGACATTTTCTTCTCTTGTTGTGTGCAGGTACATGGGCATTGGCCTGTCTGCCCAGGGAGTCAACATGAACAGACTGCCTGGTGAGTAACATGTGAATGATGTCAACATAACCAGTAGACAGATGGATAAATGGACAGATAGACATTTGTTAGGTGGATCGATGCTGAAATTAATTTAAGGATGCTACAATGGGTGGGTGGATGTCAGAATTATTTAATGAAAGGATGGTAGAGCAGCAGGACGGAGTCTGTGGTTGGAGCAATCAGCGGGATTGGGCCAAATAAGGATACCCAAGGTTACTCAGCATGAACAGAGGGTATGGCTAGTACTTAATCATGCCAATGTCCAGTGATAGGTTTGGCCCTGTGGGCCAGAGCCAGAATTTCAAACACTTAGCGGTCGCATCGGACCAGCACTTTGGCAAGCTCAGAAGAAAAACATCCTGCAGCACTCTCTACTTTTGTTCAGTTCTTGTTACACACAGGACAGCCTGTGCAGCTCTGGAGGTGTTGGCCAAAACCTTGACCCTGCACTTTTCTAATTACTTATTGGCCCACCTTTCCAGCCCTCAGACCCCACTGGCTCAGATTACAATCAAGCATTGACAGTGCTGTGTGGTTAGTTTACTTTAGTCTAGTGACACTCAATTTATGGCCCGTGGGCCAAATCTGGCCTGTAGTAGGGTGCCAAGTGGCCAGCCAAGCATTCTCTAATTCACAATGAATATAAATTGATTCACAATTTGTTTTTCTCTTTTTTGTACTTTGAATATAAATAAGGTGTCAGAGTGCATAAAACAACATCCAAATAGTGCTTCTTTGTTTAAAAAAAAAAGAAAAAAGAAGTCAATCAGGTGGATCCCCTGGACCCCCCTAAGTCCAGACTAAGCCCTGAAATGCTTCAGATGTTAGAAATGCCCCTGCTCTCATTTACCTCTTGGCAAAGATTAGTGAGGATAGCAAATGTCCAAAGGTTGAAAACAGGCAATTGATTTATTATATATACTAAAAAATGATAATGATTGTTTATGAACTGCCCCCTGGCCTCCAATTATTTTTGCAGAAGTGGACCATGGGCAAAGCAAGTTGAGTATCCCTGCTATAAGGCTGATTTATTGTTGTTGGTAAGCTCTACATAGAGACTACGCTGTGGCCTAACCAAGTGGCCTATGCCATTGTGAGCATTTATACTTGTGCTGTGATGTGTCTCTGTCAATCTGCAATTACACCTCCCAAACACTAGTGGCAGTTGGGTTTTTATGCTGCTGTCTCTTTTATAACTCCACAGACAAATACACTTGCCTTTTGCCAAATACGTTTTTCCCACAAATACTAAATGCTTATGTAATTGGCATTTTAAACTGCATAAATTAGCCTAGCGTCTAGCAGTTTTCCTCTAACATTACTCATATAAACCCATCAACAACAGCAACATTTAACAATGGTAGCATTACAAAATCAGGCTCCATTGTAACTCATGATTTTAACTGATAAACAATTTATGCTAGACACGGTTCCCCCACATATACAACATGCTAACATGTCTTCACAATTTATTGTTTTAAGTAAAGTAAATAAAAGCTTTGCTTCCATTAAGGGAAATGGTTTTCAGCTTACAAAAATAAACAGGTCTGTGTCACTGCGACATGTAGTTAGACGTCTGGGGAGGTGCACATCAGGCTACAGCATTTATACTGTGTGTTGAATCAACATTGCACCTACAGCATAGATGCATAGCCTACACTGTAATCTAACGTGCATCTTAGTCTTCATATCATTGAATAGGGAGGTCTTATTCAACAATGTAATCACTAGAGTAGGGTTGATTATTAGCACTTAGTCATTGTTTTCATTCAGATCATAGATATTTTGGTGCAGGAGTAGTGGGGGGCGATGGTGTGGATGGACAATATCTCCATGTGTTGAGGCAAGATATGAATGTAGATGAAAGGAATGAGGAAAGTGTCGAGAAATGGATTTTGTGGATAAGTGCAAGTAGCTGGAGAAGTGCCAACATTTATGAGATTTGGGGATGAAAGCAGGAGGAGATGAGTATGTGTGGTGTTGCTATAGTAATTGGATGTGGCTTGTGAATTCAGTCTGAGCAGTCTGACAGCTGCAGAAAGAACATGTCAGGACATGTCACTGAACAGATATATGGATCAGTGACAAATGTTGTTGACTTGGGCTTGCAGTCTAACCTCAGACTAATCTTACTTAAGACAAACACTGCTTCTCACTTTGTAATGACAGATTGCTCAAACTGTATTTTACATATAAAATATATTTGGGCCTTCACCAACACCATATTATAGGAATATACTTTTGTATACAGGATATTTGTGTGAAATAGTTTGTATCCAGAAATATATCTAAGGATGGCATCACAAGCAATTTCACAGGACTATCCATGTCAAAAATAACCTGTAAGCAAAAACTTGTGGTCAGTTTTGTTTGAATTATAAATTACAGAGTGACTTTAAATAATTACACACACGATCTCATATGAACACCCATTAAACCTGCTGGATTATTAACAGCTGAATTATGTTAAATTAACAGTAATTCCAAAACAAGTTTATTAAAGGTGTCCTGTGGAATTTGCTTATGAACAAACAAAGTTGTTTGTGGCTGCTTTCTTTGTCATTTCTATGGACTCTATGAATAAACAATTTCGTACAGACAAGGTGAAATTTAAATGATTTAAAAAATTTCAGCTCATTTTTGGTTTTATTTATAAAAGAGACTAAAAGTATGGGGGAGCAATAATATATTGTTACTTAATCAATATGTTAAACTGCAGTGCCTCACTACGGTCCTCTGGCAAACACTTTGTCAACATATTAGCATACATAGACAAAATGTAACATACATATCAACAGTTGGATTGTAAAACCATTTATTTACATAATGAAAAGGAAATGGAAAATGTATAGGAACTCTTATCAAGGGAATAGCATGTAACTGGTGGTAGAAATGTATTTTGGGATGTCCATGTGCTCACAAGCATGTCTGATGTAACAATCTGATGACCCGTCCATGGGCTCTTGTGAGGTTTTATTTAATGAGTATGATATATAAACAATTGCTGCATTTGCTGTGTTAGTGGTTTACTCTTTTGAAGTATTGTTCAAAAGCTGGGCTCCTTGTGGTTTGATTGATGCTGACCATTTTAAGATAGAAACAAACAAATAAGCAGTTGTAACTCACCAATGAAGTGTTATAATAATCCACAGATAGATTATATACCAACAAAAAGGGTGCTCATACAGTTCTCATACACTCCCAATGGTCCAGACGACTTAAATCCAGCCAAATGTTTAGTCCTTATACATTATTACATCCATCGATATCCACCAAGTGCCATTTGATTGTTTCAAATGTTCATATTTCTCTACATATTATCCATAATATCTCCAGTTTGCATGTAAATATGGGGACTCTTTGCTGTCAAATTGGTGGCTGAACTCTGACCTTTTGATTGACACCTTGCTTGAGCCAATAGGTGTTTCCATACTCATATGGGTGACAAAAGTCAGTAAGGGCCTGTGTTGAAGGAAGTGCCTGCTCCAATTTCTAAGGTGTCAGAGCAATTCAATAGCCAGCAATTGACCTGATGTCTTATTGGTCTAGAAGTGAATGCCTATCCTGACCTCCAGAGGAGTTTTTAAGTTTTTCTTGGCATTATAGACTACTATAGATTATGTAAATAATAAACACATGGCTCCACTGTTGTTTTGGAAAAAAGTCTTTCTTATCATTTGAGGTTCACAGTGAGCTTCTAAATAGACATTTCCGTCTTTATTGCTTTGTGTTGTAGTACATTGTTTTACCCTATTTTTTGAAAAGCACCTGGACAAACACTTAGAAATGTGTAAAATGTATATTTTCTATGATATTGTCATCTACTTTGAATTTGGACAGGGTAAGGTTTTATGCTATGGTCCCATCATGTTTTCCAGCTAATCAGTCCCAGTTCTGGCCATCTATAGCATCTTTTGTCAAGAAGATATTAAGGCAAAGATTTTTTTTAAAAAAAGCTTTCATATTAGTATGTTGAAACTTGCATAAATTAATGAAAGAAGCACTGACAGTGATCCTGACTGTTGAGGAAACAAAGAGACCATGCATGTACATGTACTAAAAGTGGACTAAGAACAGCTTTCAATTTACTTCGGGCTTTGGATGGACCTTTTATTTGAATTTAGGTGACTTTTACAGGATTGGTAAGACAAAAGAGAGACCCACATGCAAAACTTCACGAGTTGTCATAATCCACAGTGTGCCTCAGTGTAGCCCCAAAAATGTTGGTTCTATCATCCTTCACTTCCCATAATAAACTCAGTAGGGTCATTGGACCCTCCCTGCTCGGTAAACTCCTACATCTTTCAAACTCCATAACCCAGTGTGTAACCTGGTCTTTCTCATAAATTTGTTGTCTCCATAGCCAAAATATACAATACTATGCAACCCAGTGAGGCTGCTCTGACAACTTCAGGCTTGTTTTACCTATTACAAAGCTGCTCCAGAGACACAGATAAAATTATATAACTAATTATCATGATAGGTACTACGCTGCCTGTGAAAACAAATCTGTGGAGTTCCCCTTTAATTAAAGTGTTTTGTAGACTCTTTTTTTTTTTTTTAGAATTTAGCACAAAACAAAACATAACCACTAAGTATGAAATAACTAGTACAACTAAACTAGACCAAACCATAGTCTCTATTCTTAAGATAAAGATAGAATAAACTGGACCGAATTACACTGAATTACAGTTACTGAACAGCTTCTTTGTTTATTTTCTTATGTGCCAAGCATAAGTCATTCTATACATGTTGTATTTTTCCAGCGAATTTGTTTACTTGTGTGAATAAAGTTGAATTGAGACCATGGTTGTTCACTGCCAGGATCCAGAGAACAAAGGTGCTACTATAAAGATTTATAAGATTTGTCTACTGACACATAAACTTTTATTGTATGCTGTGCACTCACTTTCTGTAATTTATTTGCCAACAAAATGGCAATGCCCTCAACCCTATGCCCACCATGTCCCTATAGACTCCGCAAACACACACCAACA